CCCCCCCCCCCCCCCCCAAAACACACACACACAGTGAAGGGGTGCCATAAAAACAAGGGTGGGTCACTAAAATGAGGGAAGGAGAGAGCATCAGAATGAATAACATCAAGACAGTGAGTTCTGCTCTTGAACACTGACCAGTTGCCAGATATGGTCCCCAGAGAAAAAGATTCACTAAGGAAGGAGAGGATGACTACATAATAATCTACAGAACTTTAAGACAAACGCCATGTATCACATTATTAATACTTCTGACACCAAATGTAAAACAAGACATGACACACCTTCATGCAACATTTAACCCTCCACTGTCCCAGGCCTACACTAAGTCTAGGAGTGAAAACTATCATATTAGTATGGGACTGGTAAATATCACAACCTGCTTATAATGACAGCAGGGATACCAAATCATGTGCCTTTATTTTGATGATGATGAACATGGTGAAGATGATGATGATAAATTTCTGACAATGGCCACAACTGGTAGAAATAAGGAAAGACAATGAAACTGCCAGGCAGCAGAATCTGTTGTGAAAGACTGATTAATAAGACAAAACAATAACAGTAACATGCTACACATTTAAAACTATTTTTACAAGTAGAAATACAACACGGAGAGAGAGGGTACTGCTTACCTCTGGCTGCTGTGGTTTATTTTGATTTCTGTACTTGCTTCTGCGCTCCAAGAATTCTTTTGCAAAATTCCTCGATTCCTGGTTGTCTCCAAAGTAAGACTTAATGTAATCATGAACCTGGAGAATAGAAATTGAAATTGTATAAAAATTTCAAGGCTAACGCCCCTCATCTAAGTAAAATTTGGTGGAACTGAGGTTAGCAATTACAATACAACCACATGACATAGTGAATCTCTACTACACACTTCAACACACTGTGCAATGACAATTCTTTTAGGAAAGAGAAACCTTGGAAAATATTTAGTCCTCAAATGATTACTACTTTAACCAACAGTTCTGCTCAATGTATCAGCACTACTGTTCAGTAATCCAGTCAGCATTTAACTCACTCATTAAACTTCATATATTAGACAGCTTGCCTAGAAATACCTACCTCGTAAGGAGACTCCACATCTTGCATGAACGTCACAAATGTGGGAACTGAAAGGGAGTGGTCATCACAATTAAACAATGTCAAAAATATTCTGGGTAACTTATATTATTTTTAAAGAGCTAAAAATTCATATTATTAAGCTACCTTTAATCAAACTTGGAACCCTTTTTGTTTTTAAACTTCTAATGTAATATTCATATATGCTGCTATGGCTGACAGTGATTACAGCACCACATTACTGGTTGTGCTCTCCCTCTTATCTGAGAGAGTGACCGCAAGGTTGTCATATGCCAGGAAAACAGTGGAACAGTTTGACCTCATTTCATCTCTGCACAACACCCAAGTTTTCACTTTCCTTTTCTACTATCTTAGACTTCAAAGAGGTGTGCTCATAGAATTACCATTGTCATTGTTCACAAACAAATGTACACATTTTTCAGCACCCCTGTACTTACTATCAACTGAAGTGTGCATATTTTCTAGTACCCCTGTACACCACTGGGTAAACTCATCAGCTGGCTTCCTTGAAGCTTGGAATAATCTCTGTACAGCTTCCTACAACACAAACGGTTAAAGAATTTAGACTTTGGTACATTAGATAGAAAATGGCTACATCTGAGGACTTTGAGCATATTCTATTACATTTAAACAATGGCTGTTGGGGGGAGGGGGGGTCACACAATAGGCACATTCACCCCTAATTAAGCTCCTGAAGTATCCCCTTCTTCCAGAAAAGAAAGTATATTAACAAACAAAATACAAAGTAACATTCTCATCTCATCACATTCATCACAGTAAGAAATATCCTCATCTGCTGTCTTTGTTACCAACACACGTAGCTCACCTCGTCCTTCTTAGCTCTGGAGCTGGACTTCTTGTGCGTTCCTGCAGCACCAGTGGCAGCGCTGTGTCCTCCCCCGCCTCCCAGGACAGGGAAAGCATTGCTGCAATGGAAACAAGGCACACCATCAATATCACAACAAAGAACATCTGGCATAATTCATTCTACCCATAGTGTTATTGTTTTAATGGTAAATTTCAAGAATGGAGCTTTTGGGGGAGCTTTTTTCATTAACAAGAAACATATTTCAGCAACACATATATATTACCAACATTTGAAAACTTTTGGATAAAATATTGACTCCACATTGAAATATTAAATTATCTTCTATGTAAACTGGGACACAGCTTGCTGCAACTGATCTGAATGGCAATTTTTTTGTCTAATGCACATGAGAAAATCTTATGCATCTTGGTACATCCAAGTTTCAAACCCGTAAAATGCATCAGTTCATTAAGTCCTCTATCTGACCACCTACTTGGTATTATTGGAAGTTTTTTTATTGCTGGGTGCAGCCATGGCGTCGTCCCAGAAGCCCATTCCTTTCTGGTTTCCCCAGGCTCCCTCTGACGCCCAGTGTGACGAGGTTGGGGTACTGCCCCACACAGCTGCAGTAGCCAGGGGAATACTGGAGGACTGCTGGAGACCAGAGAACATATAACATATAACTTATCATGATAACTGTTGTGTGATGAGGTTGGGGTACTGCCCCACACAGCTGCAGTAGCCAGGGGAATACTGGTGGACTGCTGGAGACCAGAGAACAGATACAGGTCAACTGAGTACATATATAACTTGGCATGATAAATGTTGGCACATGTTTACTTTTATCATCTATACATCTGATCTGTACATTTCTAATCATGCTACGCAAATAAATTAAAAAAAAAAAAAATCCAAAGCTAAGAGACAGGCCATTTCAAATTTAGTTGACAAAGTTCACATCTTTCAAAGATACCACATCCTTTGAAGACCCAGCTCCTGACAGTGACATAACCCACTGTTGTCAAAAGTACCATTACCCTAAGTTACACACAGTGACATTACCCTTAGTTGAGGACAGTGACATTACCCTCTGTTGTGGACAGGGACATAACCCTCTGTTATAAACTGTACCATTACCCTCTGTTTTAAACAGTGAGTGACATTACCCTCTGTTGTAAACAGTGTCATTACCCTCTGTTGAAAACAGTGACATTACCCTCTGTTGTAAACAGTGACATTACCTTCTGTTGCTGCTGCTGCCTGTTCTTCTTCTTATCTTTCTGCAGCTGTTGCTCCTGTTCCTGTTGTATCTCTAGGAGAGACTTGGCGGTCACTGGGCGTCCAGTTGGCTGCGGGCCCCAGGACTTCTGCTGTTGCTGCTGGGCGTGAATGGCCTGCATCTGCTGCCTGTGGAGCTCTGCCTGGCGCTGATGCTGGAATTACAATAGATACTTAGCACAGACCAAGAACACCTAATGTATTACGTGAGGAAAAGGCCTCCTTTACTCAGTTTCCTAAGAAAAAATCTCTTAGCTTTTGTTTTGATACAAACACATGTGCAATTCAATTTATAAAGACGATCTTGGAAACTGCAGGCTTGCAGCTCACTTTCCAGAGGCTATGATCATCTAACCTGTCAATCAGACTGACCTGTCCAGTCTATAATAATAATACAGATTTTATAGCATTCAAAGCATTTTTATCTTATTTTCCTGTATTTACAGACATGCTGAAAACTTTTCAGAAAGGCCGGACATTTGGACCGGCAGTAATGAAAAATTTGCCGGACCGAATGGCTTTTTGTCGGACCGAAAATCACCCTATTCGTTTGAGACAGATACTACCAGTACGATTAGGTAGCTTACTTTGTTTGTGAATGTGATAGGTTTGAAATGAAGGGGAAAAATGCTTTGGGTTTTATATAATTTCATTAGTGAAGTATGTCGAATGATGACTGCAAATTCAAAATTGTGGTTCTTAAAACTCTTGTCGGTCCTTTGGACCGAACAAGTCAAATTTTTTACCGGTCCAGACAAATTTTCCCGGTCATGACCAATCGGACCGACAGTTTCAGCATGTCTGATTTACCTCCTCCATCTCCTTCTCCTCCTGAATTTTTTGTATTTCAGCCAGCGACAGGGAATTATTCTGAGTGTTAGCAGAGGGAGCACTGGCGGCCCAGTTAGCAGTGGTAGGTAACTGAAACAACAAGTCAAGACATGGGAAATGGTGGTCTATGATGTATCTATTCAGTAGAAGTTATCTAATGTATCACCAAAAGATGCAGCTAATAGACAGTCACCTGTACAATAACATGTAAGTATCTTATTTTAAAGTAGTGGAGTCTAATTTCAGAATAACAAAGCAGATAAGCTGACTTCTTCCATCCCTTCTCTTGATTATTGGATATCACATCACTTTTTTAAAATCCGACTTCTTATTTGCTGCATCACGTATGGAAAGGTATTTAAATCTATATATTCATATTTGAAATGCCTCACCTGGATGTTGGCCAGCTGTTCCTGTTGTTGCTGCTGCAGTCTCCTCAATGCTTCCTGCTGAGCCTGCTGCTGACGCTGATACTCCTGCTGTCTCTGAACCTCCTGTAGATGAAGTACATAAAATACTGTAACAGATGCATGTACATACAATGATATACCATTTGTATGGCATTATTATGCCATCCTTTTCATTGTTTAAGAAAAATCTGAAGACTTTGCAGATTAGCTTTAATTACTTTTTTAGAGAAACTGTTGGGATTCACGTACCTGTCTCCTCTGTATCTCAAACTGCCTCTGTCTCTCCAATTCAAACTCCTTCTGTTCTTTCTGTCGCTGTAACTCCTGTTTCCTCCTTTCTTCCTCTTCCTGCTTCTGTCGTAACTCTTCTTGCTGCCTCTGGAGATGAAAACATGAAGATTTTCATTTTCAAGCATATGAATACCTGACAGGGGGCTGTTTATTTTGATGTAGTATTTTCAGACAGTGGTACACAGGGCAGGAGGTTGATGAAAATATCTCTCTCTGCTGGCATTGTTACATTACTACCAACATACAACTTAAATTCAAAATAAAAGTATTTCACTTTATACTAATTCTGTATGTGACTTACAAGCAACCATCATCTGTCAATGTGTTTTATACTATTCAATTCAGGATCTTTCCAATTAAATATTTCTGTTCATACTTCCTGACCTTACTATTTGCAATGGTTTCAAGAGTCAAATCACCCTTACTTTTAATTCGAGCTGTCTCTCTTCCTCCTTCCTCCTCGCCTCTTCTTGAATCCTCAGTTCTTCCTGCTGCCTCAGCTCTTCCAGCCTCCGTGCCTCCTCCTGCCTCTTCAGCTCCTCTTGCCTGCGAGCCTCTTCCTGGCGTCGCGCCTCTTCCTGTCTCATGGCCTCCGCCTGCTGGCGTGCCGCCTCCTCCTGGCGCTGACGCTCCTCTTCTTGTTGTCTCTGGAGTTGGGCCTCCTTCTCCTTAGAAGAAAGTTACAAGGAGGTTAGTAGAAACTAGACATCCATAGTGAGATGAAAACCTTGTAATAAACAATGTGTCAAGCTTGGCTTGGGCTGGATCTTTTTTTTCTTTCTCACCCCCCCCCCTGAACCCCGCCTGCCTAGAACATGAGGGGAGTAGGCTCCAAATAGTGTTGTTTGTTTGTAAGCAAATACCATTCCTAGAGTAGATGTTCCAGCAAAATGTTCATCTCAGAACTTTTTTTTCTATGGGTCACATTACAGAAAGTGTTTTGATGCTTAAAATTTCAGAAGATTGTAAGCTTACCCTTTCTTGTTCCTGTCTCTGAAGTTCTTCAATGGATGGTTGGTCCTGTGGCGGATCTATGTCCCAAACACTACTGCCACCTGCTGGCCACGAGGGGGTGCCTAAATCAAAGCATGGTGACAATTAACACTCTCTCCTCACCCCATACTATTTACCAATGTACAACTGATAATAAAGAGACATTGTGACTGCATATTCAGAATATATAGCAAATAGTTATTCTCCACCTTGACTTTTTCAAAAATATCCCGTATTTATTATAATATACCCAATATTTACCCGAATTTGACACATTTGACCCTCCCCAGACTGAAGAGCTGTCCTCATCTCCCGGCTGCGACATGGAGCGCTGAAATGTGTGCTGCAGAGTGTTGGGAGGGCTGGAGACGCTCCTGCTTGATGGTGGATGGCTGCCTGCGCCTTCAGCAACAGATCTGAAATAAATGTTAGGTGAGCTATCACAGCAGTATGACAGGGTGCAGTGTTTGATGAAATGAAACATATCGCAATGTTTTCAGTGGAAATGAGTTTGGTCAGCTATCAAAGCAGTGACACACAATACAGGGAACAATGACTGACAAAACAATCTGTATCACAATGTTCACAGTGTTACTTGGGCGTAGGATGCCATTTTCTCTGACACAGCCAAAGGTACTGATGACGCAGACCAATGTAAATGGCAAATTTGATAAATGTTGATAAAGGTGGCAGACACTGATATAATACCTTGGAGATAACTTCTGTTGTTGTTGCTGCAGAACTTGTTGTTTAAGCAGTAATTGTAGAGCCAGACCCTGTAACTGCTGTGGTGTCAGCTTGCTGTAGGCTTCCTGCTGCTGTAGGCTCTGAACTATATGCTGTAACTGGACTTGTCTGCAGAGAGACAGAGACAGGAAACTAAGCAACAGTTGACATTCTGCATGTACCTTAATGTAACTATTTAATTTATCTATTTCATTTCTGCTTAAACTGTAGATAATCTATTCACCAGAATGACTGACTTTTCTAAGCAAAAACATGCTAGACTAGATGACTATTGTACGCTAACCATGCAGGTAAAAAATTGCTACCACACTATGAAGAAGTTATTTCTTCTTAATCAATTCTTTGACCTTTTTAAACATTTCTAAGAAAAAAACTACCCAAGATCAATCATCATGCAAGAAAATGAACTCATCACAAGTATCTAAATAGAACTTGAAACTGTTCACCTAGCACTCACACACCCACAAGACAGAATAAAAATATCAAAAAATATACAGTCTCAATATTAGTTAAAAGAAGATCAACACACAGAACGCAAAACCAAGACATAATTAGTAATCAATCACAGTAAAATAATCACTAACATATCAGCCTGATTGTCAGCCTGTTGCTGCTGTTGATGAGATTGTTGTTGTTGTTGATGTTTAAGCTGTTCTTGCTGCTGCTGCTGCTGCTGCTGTTGTTGTTGTTGTTTCACCAAGACCTGCATAGCCAGCGCCTGCTGCTGCTGAGGATTCAACTTGGTGAAAAACTCCTGCTGCTGCAGCTGCAGCATGATCTGCTGGAGCTGGAGTTGCCTGCAGGACAGAAATCAACACTGATTGGCTGCAGTGGACCTGTCACCATGCCAACCAGTTTCAAAGCAGCTTACTGATTGGCTATTTTATAACTACAACATGAGCAGACATCAAGGCCTAATTACCGTGAAGTCCGCAAGATCCCAGCAAAAAAATTCTTTCTCTCATACTTCCAGCCACACACTTTTCCTCTTACACCAATGTTTTGAAATAGAAAACTGCTTGTGGCACAAAGGCAGCAATGCCTGAACACCAGTAAACTATGATCAAAAAAAGTCCATGCCAATATTCAAAACCAAGCAAACCAATTCATGCTTAATATTGCCAACAGCAGATCAGAGTATCTGTACAAACGTTTCATGAAGCAAAAGTACATTCATGAGAATGTAATCTATGCAGTTCCCTCCAGGAGTCAACTTTAATGCACAAAACAAAAGCATACAGGTCAACATCACCCCCTGGGTTGAGCCAGGCTTCAGAATTCTCAGACAACCAGAGTTAAACTTACATGTCTTTCTGCTGTGACAGTTGGTTCAGCTGCAGCTGCTGTTGTTGCTGTTGTTTTAACAATAGTTGCATGGCCAGCGCTTGCAGCTCTGCGGGAGACAGCTTGGCAAAGGCTTCTTGCTGCTGCAGAGTTTGGATTATCTGTTGGAGTTGGATTTGTCTACAAAACATAATAATGATAAAAGTTGTTGTTGTTCTAAGTATTCGTTATACTCATTTAAATAGATTCATTAGCATTCTTCCAATTAATAGATAATATTATTTCAAATTACAACCACAATCATATAAAATAAATATCCCCAAAAAGTTAACACCAAAACTGTTCTTTTGCCAAGTCGATAATCACTGCCACTGTCAGCACACACTGCGTTTTCTACTAGTCGTGTGGACAGCAGATTACACATAAACAGATTACACGTAAAGGTCTACCCAAAGACAATATAAACCCTACCATACATTGTTCCTACTGTAGGGTACTCACCTCATGATATGCTGTTGCTGCATCATATGTTGTTGTAACAGTAGCTGTTGCATCTTTATCTGTTCTTGCTGTGTGGGTTGTGGCAGTGGCTGTACCTGACCCTCTGGGGTGGGGGAGGCCGAGTGCAGCAGGGGTGGTGGGGAGGGCCCTGTCAGGAAAGGCACACGCCCCCATCTCTTGATCAGCTCTCCCAGCGGATAAAACCTCTCGTCACAGCCGCGTTTGACCAGTAGATTCATGGTGAAGTAGCCCGCGCTGAACCACTCCGCCATCTCAGAGTTCTCAAACGGACCCTGCACCTCCCCCTGGGGGTCACGGTAAAACCACTTCTTGGCATCCTCATGGTCAATGGGAAGACCACCACTGTCCACTGCTGCCTTACTGTGGGTTTTGGCATCCTCCTGAAGGTGAACACACACACATGTACAGACGTTTTATTACACACCATTTCCTGCACTGAACAGGACTCAATGCTTGTATTATACATTATCTATTCTTCTTTTACTTCTTCGTCCCTCAAGAAATCAGTCTATTCTCCTCTTTGATTAGCTTTGAGTTCTTGTTTATAATATTCCAAGCACAAAAGTAAAAATGGCACTTCATTCCAATTCTTTTAAAAGTAAACTGAAAGGAAAAGGTGCAAAAAGATTTAAGGGAGCAACTACATATCATATTGGGGTATTACCCCTCCTTCATCTCCAGAAACTCCCCCTCCCCACCAACTTCCACCCTCATCCTCACCTCTGCTGTCCACGTAGCCACCAAACTCTCCGCTGCTGCCTCTAAGTGTTGGAAGTCATGGAGATCATTCTGTCGCTCTTCACTCACATCGCCACCAGATGGCTCCACCAGGTCCTCAGCTTTGGCAGTGACAACCACACTGGTCTCCCCGTTAACCTTCTGTTTGCCCTCCACTCCTGATTCTGTTGCCTTGGTTACAGACATCGCCACAGGAAGAGAATCAGAAGGTGTTAAAACAGGTTCAGGGGCCTTGTTAGTTTTATCAATATCCACTTCCTGGGCATTAGCAGAGTCTTTTCCTCCCTTCTTCAATGGCTGTGTCTTATTGGCAACATTGATTTGGCTGGCAACCTTGTTATTGCTTTCTGGTTGTGAATTATTTTCTGGCCTTTTTGAGGTCTCTCTTTTTTCTGCATCATTAGTGTCTGCTTTAAGCTCTTGTTTATTGTTATTGTTTTTCTCTTTTGTGGAGTTAACTTTTGTTTCCTCACTACTCTCCATTTTGGCACCTTTATTATTCTAAAATGTTCACAAGAAATGCCAGCACATAAACCAAAGTGTTTACATGGGATAAACATTGTACTTCATTGCGGCCAAACATCCTTTCACTTTTCACAATCTTTCCCTGACTGGAATCAAACTAATCTTTTACTTACAATTTTTTTTTTTCTACAATCATAACATATAGATATCTTAGAACAGTCTTATTCTACATAGTTTAGATAAAAAAAAACTTACCTCTGTATCCGACGTCTCTACCTTTCCACTGAACACCTTCACCTCCCCGTTGGTCTTCTCCCCATCTCCCAACTTCTCTCCTTTCTTCATGGCCTTCTTCTGATCCTCCGCCTCCTGCAATAAAACATCCTCTCCGTACTGTCTGGCCCTTAGCTTACTGCATATAAGTTAACCATTCATATTTGCATCAATGTTTATTTTCTGCTTCTGTTTATACTCACTGAACTAGATCTAAAGATGCACATTGGAGAGACGCGCCTCTCGGTTTCTGAGAAAACTATTACCTTCAATGACACAAAAGCACCGCTGGCATCAAACGTCCCGATATCTTCTTCTACATCTGCAGCCCACTCTGGGACATCTGTAAGGAAGACAGGATATATGTATAGAAAGATGCCAAACACACAACTCTAAATCTGTCAACTCTTTCTCTAACTCCACAAGATTTGTTGGCATTTCATATACAAAATCAAACATCAATTCTCTTCATCCCAACTCATCTTAAAAAAGATGACTGGCATATCTGTAACTGTCGCTATATACACTCTTGCCTCAACACTGACGGCTATAATATTGTCAGCCAGCAGAATTGTTTGCTTTCCTTCTCTCCCCAAGAGTTACTGACAATTCTCTGACAATAGTGATAACAACCATCTCAATATATTTCTCAACTTACCCTCCTCATCTCCCCAAGACTCACTGGCACTCCTCTGACACCAGTAAGAAGACCTGCCTGAATAAATTCCTCAACTTACCCTCCTCATCTCCCCAAGACTCACTGGCACTCCTCTGGCGGTTGTAATAGGGCCTGTCACCGTAACTGTTCTGTCTGAAGAAACCCCTGTCGTTCCTCTCTGCTCTGTCATAGTCGTACTCTCCTCCACGCCAGCCGCCACGGGTCCCTGATCATGGGGAAGAATACATAGAGTTTGCTTTATATTTATATCTCTAACTACAAGTCAGAAGTGAATGAAATAAAACATACTTGCAAATCAAAACCAGAAGTCCATGAAAAAAGAATGTGAAGAAATTGTATTTTGACATGTTATTGCTCTTCCCAAAGAAGCACCATTTGTAATGTGACTGCAATTTCCAGGGGCGGATCCAGAGATATTTTCTGAAAGTTTCCAAATTATCTTTGTTGATCCCTTATCTATTTCTGACTGACTTCCCACAGAAAAAAAAATATACCCGTCAATGTAAACTTGAAAATCTGACCCTTCTTCTGGAAGACCAAGAAGTGCCTCAACCCGCCATTTTCTCTATAATCACAAAAGTGAAGTATACTAACCCCATCTGTCCTTAGACCTGGCCATTCTCCAGTCTCCACCCTCCCCCTCCTCCTCAGCTATGTTCTTAGCTTCCCGCCAGTTATCACTGCTCATAGAGCGCGAGAAATCTCTCCTGGGAGATATCTGTTCACCTTCTTCATATGCTCCCCGCGCTGAAAACCCTCGCTCAAATCTAGGTCTCGGATCTCTGCTTCTAATGTAAAGCAAGACAAATTCAGGTCAATTCACAAACAGTAAAATAGCAAAACGTTTGGACATTTATAAATTTTTTAATCAAATCAGTCAGCATGTCTTCTGTAGGCCCATGGAACCAGCAACTGATGCTGAGTACTTTTACCTAAATCAAGATCCATCTCAATTTCTATTTCAAGATAGTATTTATATTTATAGTAGAATGTGGTAAGCAAATACGCACCCTTCGTCCCAGCTGTCACTCCTACTGTGCAGCCTCCCCCTGCCCAGGCCGCCTTCCCCCTCCTCATATGGTCCTCTGGAGTAGTAGCCATCACCCCTTCCTCGACCACGACCTCGGCCTCTTTCCACAAAGCCTCCTCGTCCACCTCTCATGGACGGTCCTCCTGGACCACCAGAGACGCCACCGCCGCCCCTCCCCATCAGACGCAGCACCGCTAGACTGTTCACTGACTGGGACATGATGCGCTGGAAAAGAACAACATGGTAAATTTTAGTTACAAACAGGAAATACAGAGCAGACCTCAAAGATGCAGGTCGTGAAAAACTCAACAAATGAAAACTAAACCCAGGAACTAAGAATCCTTGCAGGGATGAAGGTTTGTGAACCTGACAAAAGAGAGGCTTACAACAGCCGTCTACTATTGCTTCAGCCACAAAATACAGTTAGTTCTTAAGACAACCTTTAAGCGATCAGCAAGGAAGATGGATTCACAATTATCACCTGATAACTCTTCAAAGTGGAATCAGCAAACTGGGCGTATTTTACAATTTTTTTAGAAATAAACCCTCTTTCACTTTTTTCCTCCTCAGAGAGAAGACTACACACTTACATTTTCTTCCTCTGTGAGTGGTATAAGCGCCATGGGTTTCTGAGATTTCTCCACCAGTATGGAGGGGTATTGGAGCAGCTCCTCTGGTATCTCGTACTCTGGTTGGAACAAGGCGAGGAACTCTTCCCGCCCATACCGGTAGTCTGCTAGCTTGTACTTGGGGTAGCTGGGCGAGGGGGGTGGCGTGGTCACACTGTTACCGTCAGACAGGGCACGCAGCCTGGGGACAGACACATTATCACTGGTCAGAAAGCATGCTTCTTGTTCAAGCTGACTGATTGCTTTTTAAGACTAGTACTAATAATTTACTTAAAACCCCTTTACACTGGACGGCTTACACTGGACGGCGTCCTTTCTGTGTCCTTAGTGTGAACATGAAACTGGCATCGCTGTGGTCGAAGAAAGGAAGCACAAGCATCATTTTGCTTGCAGAATGAATGCTCAACGATAGGCCAGTTGTCAGCACGTAAAGATATTTTTTTTACTCTCAAACAGGGCCATACCATGGGACGCAGAAAGGACGCCATCCAGTGTAAAATTGAGACAGTCTAGAGTTTTTGTGACAGTGGTTTAATAAGACTCCTTTACCTGGCTGGTTGACAAGTTATTGGGTGACAAGTAGCAAACTTAAGACTCTAAGAGGACAAGTAGAAAAAGGCCATAGTCTGTGGAGGGTAACTTACCATTCTGGACCAAATTTCAATGTATCTGCCATTCTCAAATATGATCTGGAAGAAATAAAAAATAAGCACACATTAATAAATATTGCATAAAACTTTTGCTCCCTTGTTAAAGCATTCTACAACTATTAAGTTAATGGCCAAAGGGTTTTAAATGCACCCTGGAAAGAAAATTCCTGTATTAACAGATGGTAACAGAGAGTAAAGCAGCAAATAAAAACCTCTCCATCTAAAATAACTTTCCAACCAGTTGTTAAATTTCCCTGTGATATACATTTACCATATCTCATAAAAATGTGTATTAAGCACCTGTCTAGACAGAGAAGAGAAAAAGGTTAACAAATTTGACAAAATGAAGCACTTTTGAAAAAACAATATGCGTGTTAATAATAAACGACTTCATAACTTGGATTATGTATTTGTTCAACTGTTCACAGAAAATAAAAGCCTTTCTGCTGCCAGCAGTTTATGTGCAAATGTGTGTGTAAAAAAAAAATGCAAATGATAACATTAATTGCATCATGCCAACTTTCAAAATTTGCCTGCATTTCAAGCCCACAGGTAACGTTAACAGTTAGCAGAGACCTGCAGCCCTCAGTCAATGTGCAATTTTATATGAAATATACACAATTCACCAAGAAACTTTACATCAAATTCCGTTTAGTTTTAGAAAAAAAAAACTTTCTGCTTTGAAACTAACAAACTGCTAAGACATTCCACAATCCAAATGAAAAATATTGGTCTTAATTATGTACTTTATTCTACCACTGTATTTCTCTTCTCCTGATCACAAATATATACAGCATGCCACTGAAGTCATCAGACATCACTACATAACAACCACTGGCCCAAGCATGATAAAGATGTTAATCACAATATATTCACTAGTATCATGTATATTACAATCTGGAAAGTAATTATATACTTCCTCTGTAAGGCAAGAGGTAAATCAACTCATTAAAATAATTCATATGCTATGGCAATCCAATCTATTAGAATAATTATAACAGAGCATGGTGAATTATTTAAAGAGTGAAGTGTAATATAGTTTAAAATAAACTGTGCCCATAGACAAGCATGCAGTGATTGAGTTGTGCATCTGTGTTCAGCACATGTGGATATATATGGTCCAAACTTAGGACCAGGACACTGGACAGCGGTCAGCAAGTGACCACACGTACATCAATGGCCAGTGGCAAGGATACCCCTTGCAAACTGATATGGTGCACCAAAGTCAATTCTGAATACTGTACAATAAGTCTAATCAAATAACATTTCAATCTTTATGTTGCCTTTTTTTTTACTCACTAACTGGTCCCTATTTTATACACCAGGTTATTAACAATGCTGCGAGAGGCTGCTATTGCTATCCAGTCTGGCGTAATATGCTTCTCCTCATTCTGCATGTCTGCACAAAAACAAACTGTATTCAACTAAACGTCAACATGATTCTCTAGACAACTTAACATCAACACTATTCTCTAGACAATTAATACAGCTTTTAGTTTGTGTTCTTGATAACTAGGCTCTAATTGTACTTGTCCACACACCAAAGCATTTGAAGGAAAGATACCTTCCCATATTCAGTTTTCAGTGAATGGATTATGAAATAGAATAAAAAAATTCAAAATAAATCTACCTTTTTAAAATAATATAAAAATGTAAGAAAGAAATTGATCACAGCTTTTTTACCTCGGCCAGCATTTTGGTCCAATGAGTGACCACAAAGAGTTTTTTCTAGTTATTGCAGTAACAAGAATTTCGCAAATGTTCATCAACAGTCCAATTTAAGCCAAGAGACAAAAACTCAGTACGTTTCTCACTTGACTCTCATAATAAATTAGCCTTTATCTTCCACATCAACTGGTTATCCTACACATCAACTATCCTAGCTGTATAATGAACCAGCAATGCAGGTTACTACTAGCAGATCAGTGTGAGCTGAATTGTCAAATATATCTACATACTGCTTACCTAACCAAATCACATCTACCTGCAGCCACGTTTCTGCTAAAAACCCCCTTTACAGTGGACGGCGTCCTTGCAGCCAACTTTATGGGACCATGAAACTGGCATCAGTGTGGTCGTAAAAAGGTAGCGCAAACAATGGTTGCAGAATGGATGCTCAATGACTGACCAGTTGCAGCATGTGTTTTTTTCTCTCTAACGAGGCCATGCTAAGGGACACCGTCCAGGGGGGCTTAAACAGGTGTATAGCAGTACCATATCACATACAAGTCAGGTGCCCTACACTCTCACACATCAAGTTACTGCTATGAAGTCAGTCAGCTGTACTTCACCAGGTTGCTGGCCTCTCAGTAGTAACTGATCCACCATTTATCTTGTCTTTATCTGCTTTAACCCCACTCAGCATAACTTACAGGTAACATACAGGTAACTTCCTAGAACTCGCTTTGGAATTTATTGTGTTGTGGGTGCTAATAATCTCCCTGTCACTCTTGACATTCTGCCAATAAAATAAGAGAGATCATATATGGTTTCCATGGCAACACATCTGCTTACTACAAGAAAACTATCTACAATCTACTGGTGATCCAGCTCAATTGTTCCTTCTTAGATTTAATTCTGAAAATTTTGTTAAGATGGCATGCATGACCTTGATGACCTGACCTTAAAAAGTAGGTCTAGGTGAACCGTTTTCAAACAAATTTAAGAGACTTGTGCTCCAAAGGTGGCAGTCCTTCCTCGTCACCTCCTCAATAAACTTCAACAAGTTAGAGACGCATGACCAATAAATTATATAAAGTTGTAGATAAATGAAAAATGAAGATACAATGAACATTTCTTTTGAACTTGAGGTCAGAGTTAAAACTATTATGACTCATAGAAAATGATTGAAAATCATGGATACAGACAATAGGAGTCACTAAAAGATACTTCTTTAGTAATTAAAATCTTGCAAAATTTGATGAAAAATACCCACATATATCTGGGATTTGTGTGACACACATTCCTATAAACAGATCTTGAATTTTAAGGGACAAACAGCTACATATACCAAATAACAGCTGCAATATACTAAACCAATATTTTGATGCTTAAACTGGCTCTTTATACACAATTTTTTGCATCTAACTTAAGATACTCTTTTATCATTTACATTTGTTTTAAGCCAAGGATGACATTTGGGATTTGAATAAGTAAATTATTAAAAGTTACAATATTCTCTGATAGTTAAGATCAAGTGGTGATGTTCTGATCATGTAATTGTAACATTTTTACTTTATAGTTGATTTACAACAGGAGGTACAGGACTGTATTTAATTGTATAACACTTCACTATTGACACAGAGAGACTCTGGGCACAGAAAACACGTACAGAAACTAAAACACAATTGGGGGGGGGGGGGGGTCAGACCCAGGGAATAGGGAACACTCGCACTAGAATACTGAGAACAGAGAATATACACAGACTGGAATGGGGGTGGGGGTGCGGGGGACAATCAAACATATGCCTATAAGTGCAGTTAATGATTTAAAAAGCTTAATGATACACTGCAGAGATATGTTGAACCTTTAAAATGCATCTAAGATCAATCTCAACTAGCTGGCTATGATATGAAGGCACAGTGATAAAAGATTAAGTATCTTTTCCATACATGACACTATGACATAAAAATTATGCTTGCACTCCTAGTTTTAGATCTTTTGAATATTTCAGGAACTTACTCTTAAATTTTACAGATATATAGAATAATTTTCTTCTCCGCCTGCTCTAATTGCTCAGTGCAGAAAAGCCAACTATTTTGCCATAGGCAGTCTTAAATGCATCTGCCTATCTATGAGTTATGCTATCATATCATATAATTATACATCCATTTAATTTAACACAATTAACGAACCTCAGACTGTGAGAAGCAGGTATCCTTCATGTAAATAAACTATAACCCAAAGTGGTTTAATGAATGAAGTATGTTTCCAGAAAATACACTACTACCCAGAGTGCCGTATTGAATGGAACTTGCCCCAAAAGTACTCAGCACACATGTGATTTCCCATGCAGTAAGTTTTCAAGAGGAATCTTCAGTGGGTGTTTGATACTCGTCAGCATATCTGGTAGACAAGCAGATGTAATTCACAGTGCTGTCGATGGGAAAACTGGTGTGTGACTTGAGACAGGAACCCATAAAACAAACCAATTCCCTTGATATTTTATAAGTATCTCTGTGCATTTATACTTGCATGTGTTTACAAAAGTGCAAAATGGTATTCAACAGAGTAAAGATAGTTGGGTATGTTAGACTAGATGTTAAAAACATTCTAGGTACATATCAATATCTGTTATAAATCTGTTATAAATTTTGATCTCTGTGCATCAAAATAGGTGTATGCAATGATATTTTAACCTTTTTTTTTCCTTGATCATGAAAAAGTTCACACTCCTATCATCTCCTAGTCTTCAACTTCATGCCTGGACACTTTATGAGATCAACAGAGCATGCAACCTTTGTAACATTCAGTGCAACTTCACTTCTTATCACAAGTGATCACCAAATATCCACCTACTAGTTATGATCACCTAGCACTCAAGTACTATCAGTGAATCATATATTGTGTTACTCATCTCCACTACGCTAGCAGAGGTGTGCAAAGACAAAGTACAACTCACTTTTTTCACGCGAAACCTTTAAAAATGCGCTAACGTCAACGCACTAATATCAATGCATCCGTTTCTTAGAGCATGCAGGTGTACAAAATGATGAGTTTGGAAGAGGAAAGAAGCCGTGGTAAGCCCCAATGTAGACACCATATGTAATAAATCAGGCTGCTTCTGCAAGCATGGCCTCGCTCGGGTTCTCAGTCGTCCACATAGCACAAAAATTTCACCGGATGTCGACTTATTTCCAACGTCTACATCACAACTAACACACCCGAATACACGATAATTCTACAAGCTATGTATCTCAGACCAGACCTCTGGGCCAATAACATGCTTAGAATGTTCATTTACCTGGTATTAAAAAGATTTTCTAGCTCGTATCAGGATTCACTGACCCACTATGGCCGACGATTGTATGTATCACGTGACCTGCAGGTGCCCGGATGTCTAGAGTATCCAAGATGGCTGCGCCCACGGAATGCCGACCTGCAGCCACAATAGATCGATTTTTACGTCATGAATATCGATTTCTGTGAGGTAAATAGCTCGTGCTGGCGTTTATATGGCATTGCATCTGTGTTTTATCGTGACTTTGAAAAGCGAGCTCAGGTAAGGCACATTTGTATCATTTACTGTTGTGTTTTTAATGAATCAAAACAAAAATAGATTGAGAAAACTTTTTCCCAGGGACAGTTTTACTTCCGGGATGGAGAGGGAGGGGTGTGGGGTTAGGCTGAAGCTGATGTGGTGCTATGTTTTAACGTCTACTGACGGAAATTTAATTGTTGTTGACATATGGCATACATGTACGTTGAATTGTATCATTTGTTCGAGTATAAGTTACCTTATGAAAAGTAAACAATAAAGGCAAATGTTTGGCCACATAAACATAAGTGAGATGGAAATGTAAGGAGCATTCGGTTATTGTCTGCCCACTGTTTGTTGAGGGGTGACCCCAAACTACTTGATGAATGACGTTCTTCTGAAGTTAGATATAAAATATGATAAAGATTTTCATAGATACAACTGTGCAGTCATAGCAGCCTTATGCTGTCTACCCTTGAGATATGCTCATGTTTTCATAAAACGTCCAACATTTTCTTTTTTCCCTAAATTGTAGAGAAATATGAAATATGTGTCGGGGAGCATGTGGTCCTCCTTTATCACGCATAACCAGGGAATATAGAAAACAACAAAAACATATTACCACTGTGCACTCCACCCAATCTCAGGATTTTAACATTCATGACAGTTGTTTTTCACCATAAATTGTAATTGTTTATGGTTAACTCCATAAGTTGCCTTAAAAAGGAGTGCTTTTACACTGAAATTGTAGATCTACAATATCAACCAGGATGAAAAATTAAAATATTATAGACAAACCCATTTTCTCCAAGCTGATAACTGAAATTTAATCTACTGGATGCTGGCTTGTTAAGCATTTTATGTTAGATATAGAAAGTAGTAAGGGTAAGTTACTGTTAAACGCAGAATAATATTAGCACATTTACTTTCAAATACTTTTTCAAATAAAAATCCCATAACTACACTTAAGTGATGGCTACTAGAAATTCCTTGATTTAGATGAAATGATTAACAAATAAGTCATAATTTTAATCATCTCATCATTGTTTGACTGTAAATTGTGAGTTTTCTTCTCTATGTTTCAGTCATGCTGCCACTGCTAGCTGTCTTACAGGGGATCATGAGAAATGTGAAGCGCCATAAAACAAAGACAGAAACAGAGGAAAATGACAAAAATAAAGGTAATGTTATAAATCCATATAGTCACATATCCAAAAGGAAAAAAAATAAATAAATAAAAAGAGCTTTATTACAGTTCTCATGAGCATGTGAAAGAGTTTGGCAATTACCACATAAAAATGGCAGAAAGAGAGGAGAATTATTATTTTTTATCCATTGTCATTGTTAAGATATTGTTCATTTGTAAGTTGTTTGTTTGTTTACTTAATCTCCAAGATTCCTATAAGAAGAGTGAGAAAAACCAGTCTTGTACCTGTCATGATGAATTTTAGTGGAGCTGCCATCTGCCTGCTGCTAAAGTGTAATATGCCACAGTGTAGTCTGCTACAGTGTAGTCTGATTCATTGATCCTGGTTTATTTTTAATGCATAACAATGAAATGATAAACACATAACAGGTGAAATATTGAAAAAGACCAAGTGATCAATAGCAGGGATGACAGTGGCTTTGACAACAGTTTGAATGACTACTCAGTTATTTAGTAACATTAGTAAGATAATGATTTCATGAAAAAATACTAAAAGTTTGTGATCGTTATCACTTGAAATGAAAATGTAAATTGCCCATTAAGTTATAATTAATAATGATAATTTGATAATGATAATTATTTGTAACTTTATACCCATTATTTGATATTGATAAATGATACAAAGATATGATTTTCAGAAGAGAAAAAAAAAGCAGAACGACCCAGTGTACGGCGAAAAGTAAAGCGTCAGAAGCATGAACCCCACATTCACTGGGACCGGCTTTGTCTGCTTGTGTTCACTGTCGTTAACGTGCCTCTTCTGGCGTGGAACTGGAAGCATCTGAAGCAAAAATACCTGGAGTACATGGAGCCTGAGTAAGACTTTGAGTTGGAGGACATCCAAAACATGGAACCTCTGAGAAGAATTTTATTAACTGCGTTATGTTGTAAAAATGAAGTAATTTTTCTTCAGTCTTTTTTCTTTTTTTATTTTTAAATTTTAATTTTATTCGCCTGGATGGCCTCATTCACTGATGAAGATGTTCTGCTAGACATTGAAATTATGGAAGTAGAACTATTTCAATATGAAGCTGTTGACTGAAGAAAAATTATTTCATTCTTATGGGGACCTCAGTGTGGGAATTATCTAAGAGCACATTTAGAACAGCGGACCAACAGATCCGCCGATCAAGTATGGCCGACCCACTTTAGTGCTTGTTGCGTAATCCCTGCAGGGAATCCATTCTGTGTCTTATCGGGAGAAACGGCAAGCTTTTTAGTGGGTCACCATATTTGATCACTGGCTCTGTTAGTCTGCTGCTCTGAGTGGGCTCTTTGGCTTCATTCACATGCAATGTCTAAATTCTAAATTCTATTTTCTATTCGCGGTATGTCCTATAAGTTACTATAAGTAACTGGCTCGCGCTGCCAGTAATTACGCGGCGGGATATTCAGGGCACAGACCGTGATCATAAGATAGCGCGAATAGAAAATAGAATTTAGAAAATAGACATTGCATGTGAACGAAGCCTTTGTGCAGGATCAGGAGTCCGTGGTTTATTTTGTTAAAACACCAGGGCTTAGTCCGCCTGTGTAACTCCTGAGAGACTGTGGTTATATCTGTTATATTAAGTGCATGGAAACGTCCCTAAGCAAACAAAATAATGTGATGAATGTGTGAAGCAAAGCATGTCTAATAAAAAAATAAAGATTTTTGCTCTACTGTTAAACTCATCAGTAATTTTAGATGGTGAGTGTAAATGCTGCTACCACTGCACGCTTCCCTAAATTTATGATGAATTTAATATACATCAATGTCATTGTATTCTATTTTCAATACTTTTTCAGTTTTTGTGCATAAACATTATTAACACTGTATGAAATGTTAATGGAAACTTGACACTGCATATATCCTAACTGTTACTTGAATAATAAGTATTAGTATTAGTATTATTAGTATTATTCTCATGTTATTCTCTTTTTGATTAGGTATGAGTTCAAGACTTTTTCTTTTGACCACCTATCTGCTTTGTCCCAGCGAGAGATGAACATGAAGAAATATGCCTACAACTACAGCACCACTCATATAGACAAAAGGGCCAATCTCAGCCGTCAAGAATTCACTGATGTTTACGATGGAGCTTGGTAGGGACACTTGTTGATATTATAAATAAGATGAAATGAGAAAGTCAGATCATGTCATTTTTGTTATACTGTATAAATACAGGGGCAGATTGAGGCTGTCTTCTTGGTCTTTTGGAAGACGGTCAGATTTTCAAGTTTACACTAATTTTTCTGTCAGAAGATGGTAAAAAATGGAGGATTGATCAACAGAGATAAATTGGAAGACTGTCAGAAAATATCTCTGGATCTGCCCCTGTAATATGTTTTCACATTTTTGACAAAGTATACTACAGTGTATCCCAGTAACACCAGTTTTATGAACACTTCCTGGTCTGTGCAGACGTGTGTTATAATGACTTCAATATTGACACAATGTTTACCAACTTGACATGAATTTGCTGTTTTTTTTACATTACAAAGAACAAACGAAAAGTGTTATCATGTTTACACAGTGGAACATATTTAATCACACATTGCTGCCATCACGTTACAAAGCAGTGAACATATTCTACAGTATGCCCACACTGAAGTTGAAATGTGTTTTTATTTCAATATCAAAAATATTTTTATTCTTTGACTTTGGATGAATATATAATAGTTTACTTGAGTGCAGATTCTGAGCGAGTTAGGAAAAAAAAAGCCCTCCAAAAGTCCCAACATGGCACAACAAGGTTAGTCAATATGTAGAGCTTATACTTCAGTCAAACTGCCTTCTAAGATAGGTGGTCCCTGTTTAATTTTTGACTGAAAACTGATAAAGTAGCAATATGCAATGTTCAGACTGGTTGGTTCTCACAATGTTGACCTCTGTTTGATTTCATTTGTAATATTTCAGGCCCGTGATTATCACAGATGTGGTCCCCAAATGGGGCGCCTATCACTGGAGTAAACAGTTCCTGCTGAAGTATTATGGGAAGGACAGGATCACGATGAAGGCTGTCGATGTAAGTAACGATATGAGTAATTGTAATTTCTGTGGTAACTGCAGTATCACATTAGCGGGATATGTATTGTACAGAATATCTTTTGATATATTAATAGTAAGCAATATTAGTGAAGTGTTTTTTAGTAAAGAACCATCATGTATGGGAATACTTAAATTGTCCAGTCTTAATGTTTATGATATTTAAAGTTTTATCTATGGGTGCTTTCCCAGAGATTTAGATCGATCTAGAGATTAAGATTTAGATCAACCTAACTCCCTGGGGGTTCATGCTAAATTGCAGTCAGTCGAGCGGGCACCATAGTTAATTACCTCCTTACAGCTTTTTGTAGGTGGGACAGACGCTTAAGTCGGCCAAGCTGACAGTAATCTAGTGAGACTCCCCACAGGGATAGATCGATCTAAAAATCTATGGAAATGGGGTGTATTAAAAGCTTTAAATATCCATTATATAAAAGATATCTGGAGCTACAAAATAAGGATGCCATTATCTACCTCACCAAGCAGTCCTCAACTCAAATGCATTAAAGCACTCAAATCAGTAAATCATTCAAAAGTATTTTACTTCAAATTGATTAATCAGTAAGACCAGTTGGATGGGATCATTTGTTGAACAGCATAAACATAGAGCGCATTCAGAAAAGCAGACTAACAGATTCATGGATCAAATATGACCGACCCACTTGAATGCTTGTTTCATCATCCCGCGCCAAATCTATTTAGCATCTTAGCCTAAATTAAGCGACAAGCTTTTTAATGGGTCACCATATTTGATCCCCTGTTCTGAATATGCTCATATATTATCTACAGTCACATGGGAAGTGTTATGTAATGTGTATATTTCAGGGTCGCCTAGACAACGCAGAGAGTCTGGCCCTCCCCCTGGAGCTCTACTTCAAACACGCCCATGAGGGGACGTTTAGGCGATGGACCTACGTGGAAGATGAGCTGTTCATTCCTACAAGACCACAGCTGAGGAGAGATGTCGGGGACTGTGTGAGTGGGAATTTTGGGATAAGCCCCCTTTATCTGTTATTCATTAAATTATCATGAATTGTTTGAGCAGATTGCTAAAGAGAATTTCATGAAGGACCCCAAGAGAGCGTGTTTTTAGAAAATTGGCAGTGTGAATTTTTTTATGCTCCTACAAATTTTTTATCAATAAACATGACTCAGCTATTAGACTTCAACTGGTATGGGATGCAGGTTGCTACAGAGAATTTGCCAACCTGTGACAGAGCTTTTTAATGGGTCACCATATTTGATCCACGGATCTATTAGTCTGCTGTTCTTAGCGCGTTTTTAGAAAATTGGAATTTTTCGATCAATAAACATGACTCAGCTGTAAGACTTCAGCTGTTATGGGATGCAGGTTGCTGCAGAGAACTTACCACAGAGCGTGACGACAATGGCATATATAAATATTGAAGCATTTTCAGGTCACTTTTGTCAGGAAGTTTACATAAAGAATTGATATTTTCAGCAAACTCCTTTTTACGCATCAACTTATTCTACTGTCATGTTAGGACTTTATAATACAGTAGATGTTATCACAGTCAAATTAATCATAAACACTATGTAGTGTTAACAAACTCAATTGCTTTGGTCCAGTCTCAGAAGTGATGTAAAGCAATCCACCACCATTGCAGGAGTACCTGAAGGAGGATTACTTCCAGCTGTTCCCTGAGGAAGTACGTCCCTGGAACGCCATGTTGTTGTGGGGTACGCCGCACTCGCGCTCTTCTCTCCACATTGACCCTTACAACTGGACAGGTACCAATGCCGTCATTAAGGGGAGGAAACAGTGGAAGGTAAGTAGATGGTTTATGTTAGACTGTACTAACACATAGCCTACTGACCTTCAGGAAAACCAGGGTCTTAGAATTTAGTTGCAGATTGAAGAAGCAGTGGCCAGTTACTATACACAAGTACACAAAAATTTACCAATCTGGCTTTAAATTCACTTGTTAATGGACCAGACAATTTTCCTGTTGTCAAGAGTTTTTTTTTTTTTTTTTTTTAATTAATTCATTTTTTTATAGAGGAGGGTCTGTATCTATGAACAATTGGATTTTAAGTTAAATAAGTTGGAGATCAGATATGTTGGTCTCTTCACTATTTATTGTAGTACTGTTTGAGGAGGGATTTGGCAGGTATGAAGAATAACGCAAAAAGAAGCAGTTTTTTTGTAAACAATTCCTGCACCCATTATTTTCATGTTTTTATTCTAGTCAACCATCTCTATGTTCATGTTGATAAATATTGTATTCTAGTTGATTCCACCTGGGCAGGACCACCTTCTGTATGTACATGTTGATATATGTTATATATATATATGTTATATTCCAGTTGATTCCACCTGGACAGGACCACCTTCTGTATGTAAAAGAAGGAAAAATGTCAGGATTTCCTTTGGAGTGCCATAAATACAACAGGTAGAATTTATTGAGATTTCCACTCTAATAGTCTGATCTCTGACATAACATTGGAAGTTTGTAAGACATACCTATTATCTTATTGTCATTATTAACCCCTCCTTCACCAGAATGAAAACGATGTATAGTTTTATATATGTGTGTGTGTGTGTGTGGTAGGGTAGCCATTTTCTTCTCAACCCTTAAATGGATAATAACTCTTTGTATGAGATATGTATTTCATAATAAAAACATTGTAAACAACTCATAGAAATGCAATACATTCTGTTTGACCACAAAAACAGCAGTTATAGCTATTATTCTGATATCTGAGCTTGTCATCAGACCACTTGACCTCCATAGATGGCTATACTCTGTTATAATCTCTGAAGAGATTATAACAAACTTTTAAGAAAAAAAAACGGACAAACCTTGAATGTAGAAATAGATTTTTTAAGCATTGGTAAGAATGAAGAAATTGTTGTTTACTCCAGGAAAATTCATTTTTAGGCCAAAGTGAACACTTATCCCATTTATCATAGCATTTGTCAGATTTGTGTTATTTCTTCATGTTTGCATCACTGTTATCTTTGTAAAGTTACTTCCCTGTGTTTCTCTCATTTGGCACTAATCCCATAGATTATAAATACTATTCCACAGATCCTGTGTGTGTGTGTGTGTGTGTGTGTGTGTGTGTGTGTGTCATAGAATATGGCAGGCAGCAAAGTATTACATTCACTCTTTGTGCATGCCAACCCATATTTTAACAAAATATGTACTTCAAGAAACCGGTAGCATAATAACATTTATCTTGTAATTTTAACTATAAACAATAAATTTCTACACCAACTATGTAGTAGACTGTTGTGATCAGACCTAAGCTCCATTTCAGCCCAGTTGACCTGTATGACCTTGACCTGAATACATACCCTCTGGTCAGTCAGCTGGTGACCATAGAGGTGGACCAGCTGCCTGGAGAACTGCTGATTATACCACCTGGGTGGTTCCATCAGGTACTCTGTCTGGCTGTGTGTATGTATGTCTGTTTGTCTGCCTGTTTGTCTGCCTGTGTACCTTTCTGTCTGTTTGCCTGTCTGTTTGTCTGTCTGCCTTTCTGTCTGTCTATCTATGTCTGTATAGGGACAGTCGGTCATCCGGGCACTTTACCTTAGCAACCGGCATCTGGGGTAAAACAAATCGGGCAACATGGCAGATCGCATTGACTACTATGTAAAAGTTGGCAGACTTTGTCCGAAGATATCATACTTCACAGTTCCTGACCACTTGTGTCAGTGAGGATGAGTTATTTACCTGGTCGATTTCCTTTACAGGCTTTTGTAAATAGCTGCTGCACACCTGGTTAAGAGATAAAATCGGCCTTAACTGCCGATCGTTATCTGTGATCGGATATCTTACAGTGGTAGATTGCAAAGACTCATTTGCTTACCTGGATGAGCATAATATTCACATCTCTTTGAAAAGAAAACCATACGGAAGCAACTGATATTATCAAGGAAGGTTTCAATTGTACTTATAACTGTTGACGTTGCATATTGCTGACACATACGAGTAGATTTTGCAGGCCTACTGAATTGCACAGGTACCACGCACAAGACCACGTGTCTTCTCTTCCAAAAAGTTAGCAAGCAACTGTTTATGCTGTCATTCCAGGCTTGCATTAATATTCATGTACTGTATACGGACCAAAGAGGCCATGGGACCGATGACATTGCCCCTATCCCGTCCCCCTGGCTATTGCAGCAGCAGGTGATTTAATCACAATTTGTAGAAATCTTATTCTAATAACTTCTCAGTGTTGCACATTTTGTAGGCCTTTCTTACGATCCACGTTCTAAGAAGCCATTCCTATTTCACCAACTTATGTACATGTATATACTTAGGGTGGACATTTGCGTATGCAGTTAAGACCAATTTTATCCCGTAACAAGTTAAACAGTAGCTTATTACAAAGGCCTGCTTACTCATTAGTCCAGGTAAATGATTCAACCCGCCAGACACAAAAGGTCAAGCACTGCCTTTTCAAAATCTTCTGCTGTAAAATTCCCGATCACAGATAACGATCGGCAGTTATATTAAGGCCGATTTTATCTCTTAACCAGGTGTGCAGCGGCTAATTACAAAGGCCTGTAAAGGAAATCGACCAGGTAAATAACTCATCCTTACTGACACAAGTGGTCAGGCACTGTGGAGTATGATATCTTCGGACAAAGTCTGCCAACTTTTACATAGAAGTCAATGGGATCCGCCATGTTGCCCGATTTGTTTTACCCCAGATGCCGGTTGCTAAGGCGCGTGACGTCAGCCTGACTGTCCCTATGTTTGTTTGTCTATCTGTTTGTCTGCCTCCTTATCTGTTTGACAACCTGTTTGAAAAGTGTGTCCCTTTCTCTCCCTCTTTCTCTCTCTCTCTCTCTCTTCATATGGCAACTGTTCAGAAGCATTCATACTTGGAGTCTAATTCCAGTATTTCACTCAGTATTGTTCTTGTTCCTCCTCTCCAGGCTTACAACCCAGAGGAGACTCTTGCTGTGTCCAGTCAGGTGATGAACTCGGTGAACTACCGGGTGGTACTGGAGGAGATCCTGAAGGCAGGCAATGTCCCGCGTACTGGCTGGAATCCCAGTCTTCCCTACAGCAGTCCCCAGGAACAGGTAAATATTCACTGGGAAGTTGTCCCATGTACTGGCTGGAGTCCCAGTCTTCCCTACAGCAGTCCCCAGGAACAGGTAAATACTCACTGAGAAGTTGTCCCATGTACTGGCTGGAATCCCAGTCTTCCCTACAACAGTCCCCAGGAACAGGTAAATACTCACTGAGAAGTTGTCCCATGTACTGGCTGGAACCACAGTCTTCCCTACAACAGTCCCCAGGAACAGGTGAACATGCACTGCGGAGGCCTTCAAATATTACTTTAGCATATGCCCCTTCACTCTCTGATCACTTGAAATTTACTGGGAGGTTTAGAGTTGTAAACGTTGAGGTCAGATCCACAAATTGTCATAATCTGATTACTTTTGGAGAAGTTAATTATGTACTTGTATTTTAGTTATTTCAGATTAATCCACTTCATATTTCTTTTTGTGTGGCAATTCTCTCTTCATCTTCTCTAACACAGTTGATCCTTTATGATCAAATCTTCTCAAAGTCTTCTCTAACACAGTAGATCAGGTCATAGGTGCAATAAACCAGTATTGGGTAAAATGATGGTGTGGAGGTAATAGCTATTGTTCAGATATAAAGGGTTCTAAGATATTGTGTTACATATTAGTAAGAAAACCATTGTGTTAATATATATAGGATGGTCCATAAAAAAGCCTCTTTTACTTTACATCTCGATTTAAGGGACCATTCCCACAGATATTTGGATCGATCTATCTCCCTGGGGAGTCTCACTAAATTGCTGTCAACTTAAATGTCTGTCACACCTAGCAAAGCTGTTATGGGGTAATTATCTTTACACCCTAGCTGATTCAGTAGGTGTGACAGACATTTAAGCCAGTTAACAATTTACAAGATGAGGTAGACTTTTCACAGTAGTCAGAGTGTTTGACCAAACCCATTGCTTAGTGTTTGTTACTTTAACTTATTTTTTCTGGTCTTTGTATTAATATTGCACTGTAACCTGTGTCACTGACTGGGAATATTTTGCTGTTTCCAGGTCCAGGAGGTGATGTCCAGGCTGCCCAAACAGCTGCTGAAGAGAGGCCAAGCAGTCACAGACGACATGCAAGACCAGATTCAGAATGGAATGAAGAAGAAACCACGGCAGCAGAAGAGAAAGTGGAAGAAGAGCAGCACCTGGTCCCAGTGGAGCAGTGACACGAGCAGTGGATAGATGGCGCCAGCTCTCCTTCATATTCCAGTCCCTCCAGACACCTGGCGCCATCTAGTTTAATGTTGTTATAAGGTGGAATTTATATTGCTTGGCTTGTTTTATAAATAAGCCTTGTTTTTAAAAGTGTACTCTTATTGTGTAATTAGTTTGTATTTATACAGAATTTCTATTTTTAATTTTTTTCATATGTTGGATAGCAACTGCGAAGGTGATCAGACTCTATCATTGCTCAATGTCAAGTGAAAAAAGGCAAATTATAATTACTTAATTATCAGGTGACCATAAGATTTTCCATATACCTATTTTTATACAATTCCCATTTCCATTACCTTTTAATATGCAATATTCATACAATAAGATATTCTGCACAGGACAGATATGAGATGAGTTGATTGATGGGGTGGTGCCTCTTACAGCACCCTGAGGTTCAGAAGACACAGAAAATCAGTGGCGGATTTAGGGAGGGGGGTGTCGGGGGTCCGGACCATCCCTTCAGTTTCTGAAAAACAATCACACCAATGGTCCCCTATAGAAATTAGAATTTTGACTAGCTAAATCATAGTTTTAAACGCTTATAAATGGCACTGTTCACCCTCTAAAAAACTAAAATTTTTGGAGCCCTTCAGCGGGGCCCCAGGCCCCAGCCAAGAGGGAGGGTTGGCTTCACATCCGCAGACCCCCCCTCCCAAAAATCCCAGATCCGCCCTTGGAAAACTGATCAGTCCTATCTTCTTCAATCTTAGGGTGTCTGGCTGTGACTGTTGTTGGAAAGTTTTCTACGAAGCATCTGCTGTGAACTCCAATAATGACTGTCTCTTCACATGTAACTGTATTTTACACCATGGAAAGGGGGCTATGAAAAGTATTTTTGTTAAACTTATGTGAACACTTGTTTTGAGAGAATATAATGGCCTGTGAAGTAAAAAATATTATCCCTGATGAGAAGTGCAATTTACTTAGAGTGAACATGCTTGAAATGCATGTAGTGTTCAGTTGATTTTGGCTGAAAATGAGTTTCTAAGGTATATATTCACATATGTTTATATATTAAGTGTAATTTCTGGTTTTGAACTCCTGTTTCTCTCTTTTCACCCATATCTTACAAAACTCAACATCTATGCTACAGTCTTGTGCCTGTTTTTACATTCTAGTATTTATTGTTGTATATTTATTTACCACTTTATTTTTTTCTTCCATTAAAGCACTAATTCTAGTAATATAATTTTATCATTTTCATCTCACTATTACAAGCTTCCATGTTTCTCAATATTATTTTTTTTATTTAAAACATGTGCACTTTATATTTTGTTAACATGCATTATTCAAGCAAATCAATACAGTGGTGATCATACAATATGTACTCTTAACTTATTTATTGCTGTAATGACTCAGTCTTTTCAATGGGCAAAAATGATCAAACTTTCAGATGCATAATTTTATTCTCACAAAATTGTTTTTCTGTATAGCATATATGGTGCTTTAATAGCATAGAATACAACAGCAGAGTAGCTTGCTTTTTAATTTTGTTACAACCACTCAATAATAATGTTTTGATTTTGAGAAATTCTGACTTAAAAAATACAGTATCAGTAAAATGTGCAATTTTCCCCATTGAAAAGATCTTGTAATTACTGTATATTTTGATTGCAATTATTTAATGAGTGCCAGCTTTGCTTTTGATGTATTTTTTAATGTTAATCTGTTAATTTATTTCAAATGAATATACGATTTGTAAAAAAAAATACAGATTTGTTTCTTGTTACTTGGAGTTATTTGATGTATCAGGAATCAGTGGAATTCCCACACCACACAAGAGTACGCACCCTGAGTACCAGTGTATTCAGCTGAGGCATGCAGTATATAGAGAAGGGTGTAGAGAAGATGCCCTCTACCAGGGCCACAGATTGATTCATCACTAGATATTCACAGATATGTCTATGGTTAAATTCACGTTTATCCTCTGTACTGCACTCAGGGAAAATGTCCACATAATAATAACTGCGGCCCTGGTAGAGGATATAGAGGAGGGGGGACCTGTCTGGAGCTCAAGGTTGCTTCAGGAGAGGGTCAGATGGTGCTGGAACACGCGGAAATGTTTATGATATTACTATTTATTACTATTGTTTCTGTGCCTGTACTGGACGGCCCCCCCCCCCCCCCAGCATACTGTTTTTAGGTACATAGTGTTAACTGTACTCTTGTGACACTGTAGGATTTTAATTAAAATACCATAGTTACTCGATCAGTGGAGGGAAATTGTGATTTTTTCGTCTTAATTTCTTACAATTATAGCATTCCTTTTAAGTGAGAGCAACAAAATTACAAAAAAAATACATGCTACTCAGCAAAAAAACCACAAATACTATTAGAAATATAATTTTTGTGATTATAAATTTATATGTCTGAAAGTTTGATATTTTTTGCCCATTGAAAAGATCGAGTCATGACCATAGCATATATATATATATATATATATATATATATATAT